CCAGCCTGGCCCACGTGGTGAAACCCCATCTGTACTACTAAAAATACAAAAATTAGCCAGGCATGATGGCATGTGCCTGTAATCCTAGCTACTCAGGAGGCTGAGGCTGCAGTACACTGAGATCATGCCATTGCACTCCAGCCTGAGAGATTCCATCTCAAAAAAACAAAGACTATCAAAAAAAAAAAAAGTCCAACTAAATTTTTTTTAAAATCCTTAAAAATAGAAGGTTATAGAATAAGGTTCTAAAAATATTTGTGTACAGCTCTACAGTGTATTTGTATTTTAAACCAAGTGTCACTACAAAAGCAAAAAGTTTAAAAATTGTTACAGTAAGCTGAGATTAATTTATTACTCATGAAAACTTTGCCAGGTGTGGTGGCTCAAGCCTATAATCCCAGCACTTTGGGAGGCCAAGGCAGGAAGATCACGAGGCCAAGAGAGGGAGACCCTCTTGGTCAACAGGGTGAAACCCCATCTCTACTAAAAATACAAAAATTAGCTGGGCGTAGTGGCGCACACCTGTAGCCCCAGCTACTCGGGAGGCTGAGGCAGGAGAATGGCTTGAACCTGAGAATTGGAGGTCACAGTGAGCCGAGATCGTGCCACTGTATTCCAGCCTGGCGACAGAGCAAGACTCTGTTTAAAAAAAAAATTAAATAAATTTAGGCCGCATGCAGTCCAGCACTTTGGGAGGCTAAGGCAGGTGGAGCACCTGAGGTCAGGAGTTTGAGACCAGCCTGACCAACATGGTGAAACCCCATTTCTACTAAAAATAACAAAAATTAGCTGGGTATGGTGGTGGGCACCTATAATTCTAGCAACTTGGGAGGCTGAGGCAGGAGAAATGTTTGAACTCAGGAGGCAGAGGTTGGTTGTAGTGAGCCAAGATCGTGCCACTGCACTCCAGCCTGGGCAACAAGAGCGAAACTCTATCTCAAAAAATAAATAAATGTGGTGTAGCCGAGTATTCAGTGGTGTGTGCTAAGTCTATAGTACTGTACAGTCATGTTCTAAGCCTCCCCATCCACTCACCCACAGCAACTTCCCACCCTGCAAGCTCGATTCATATTATGTGCCCTATATGGGTATACCATTTTTTATGGTTTATACCAAACATACTGTACCTTAGTATGTTTAGATGTTTACATACGCAGACACCGTTGTGTTCCAGTTGCCTACCGTATTCAGTACAGTAACATGCTGCACAAGCCTGTAACCCAGGAGCGGCAGGCTGTAAACCACACAGCATGTTATCTATGCTTGTGTGAGTACACTGTGCTGCTCACACAACAAAATTGTCTAAGGACGTTTCTCAGAATGTTTTCCTGTCATTAAGTGACACATGACTTTAAATGGAAATATAGTCCATGTTCATGGATTGATTGGAAGACCTGAAATTTATATGAAAACTCAAGTAACCGAGAATAGCCAAAACAATCCTGAAAAAGAACAAAACTGGAGGACTTGGCCAGGCGTGGTGGCTCACACCTGTAATCCCAACACTTTGGGAGGCCGAGGCAGGAGGATCATGATGTCAAGAGATCGAGACCATCCTGGCCAACATGGTGAAACCCCGTCTCTACTAAAAAAGACAAAAGATTAGCCAAGTGTGGTGGCGTTCACCAGAAGTCCCAGCTACTGGGGAGGCTGAGGCAGGAGGATCACCTGAACCTGGAAGGTGGAGGTTGCAGTGAGCCGAGATTGTGCCATTGCACTCCAGCCTGGCAACAGAGGGAGACTCTATCTTGAAAAAAGGAAAACTGGAGGACTCGCACTTTTAAATTTCAAAACTCATTACTAAGCTATAGTCATCAAAACTGTAGTACTGGCAGAGGGGGAAATACCGATTCAGAACTGAGAGTCCAGAAATAAACACACAGGGTCAGTTTTCCACAAAGATACCAAGACAGTGTGATGGGGAATTTCACTAAATGGTGCTGGGACAACGACATTTCCTCATATGAAAAGATAAATTGAATCCCTTCATCACACCATACACAAAAACTAAACTCTAACTGGGTCATAGACCTAAAGGTAACAGCTACTTTTAAAACTCTTTAAAAACACAAAAAGGAGACCAGGCATGGTGGCTCATGCCTGTAATCCCAGCGCTTTGGGAAGCTGTGGCAGCTGAACCACTTGAGGTCAGGAGTTGAAGACTAGTCTGACCAATATGGTAAAACTCCATCTCCACTAAAAATACAAAAAAAATTAGCTGGGCATGACAGTGCATGCCTATAATCCCAGCTATTTAGGATAATAATCCCAGCTACTTGGGAGGCCGAGGCAGGAGAATCACTTGAACCCAGGAGGCAGAAGTTGCAGTGAGCAGAGATGGCACCATTGCACTCCAGCCTGGGCTACAAGAAATAAAAACCGCATCTCAAAAACAAAACAAACACAAAAGGTAAACCTGTAACCTTGAATTAGACACAGTTTTTTTTTTTTTTTGGGAGACAGAGTCTCGTTTTGTTGCCCAGGCTGGAGTGCAGTGACGCAATCTCGGCTCACTGCAACCTCCACCTCCTGGGTTCAAGCGATTCTCCTGCTTCAGCCTCCCAAGTAGCTGAGATTACAGGAGCATGCCACCACACCCAGCTAATTTTTGTATTTTTAGTAGAGATGGTGTTTGACCATATTGGCCAGGCTGGTCTAGAACTGACAGGTGATCCACCCACCTTTGCCTCCCAAAGTGCTAGGATTACAGGCATAAGCCACAGTACCTGGCCAGCTTTCTTTTTTTGAGAGTCTTGCTCTGTTACCCAGGCTAGAGAGCAGTGGCGTAATGTCAGCTCACCTCAACCTCTGCCTCCAGGGTTCAAGCAATTCTCCTACCTCAGCATCTTGAGTAGGTGGGATTACAGGCAGGCATGTGCCATCACACCTGACTAATTGTTTTGTATTTTTAGTAGAGAGAGTGTTTCACCATGTTGGCCATTCTGGTCTCAAACTTCTGACCTCAGGTGATCCACCCACCTCAGCCTCCTACAGTGCTGGAATTACAGGTGTGAGCCACCTTGCCCAGCCAACAAAGGTTTTTAGATAGCATGCCAAAACCGTATGCAATCAAAGAGTAAACTGGACTTTATCAAAATTAAAAACACGTAACACTATCAAGAAAGTAACCAGGCCAGGCTTGGTGGCTCTCGCCTGTAATCCCAGTACTTCGGGTGGCTGAGGTGGATCAATCACCTGAGGTCAAGAGTTCAAGACCAGCCTGGCCAAAAGGCAAAACCTCATCTCTAATAAAAATATAAAAATTAGCTGGGTGTGGGGCGGGGGCACCTGTAATCCCAGCTACTCGGGAGGCTGAGACAGGGACAATCGCCTCAGCCTGGGAGGCAGAGGTTGCAGTGAGCTAAGATCGAACCATCGCATTCCAGCCTGAGCAGCTGAGTAAGACTCCATCTTAAAAAAAAAAAAAAAAAAAAAACCAAAATCAAAAAACTATGTTCTGAAAAAAAAAAAAAAAAAAAAGTAAACAGATGAAAATAACTAAATAAAATAAAAAGAGGAATTTTAAAAAGATGAAAAGACAACCCACAGAATAGAGAAACTATTTGCAAATCATATACCTGATAAGGAACTTGTATTCAGAACATAGTTTTTTGATTTTGGTTTTCCTTTTTTTTTTTTTTTTGAGACGGAGTCTCGCTGACTCTCAGGCTGGACTGCAGTGGTGCAAGCTCACTGCAACCTCTGCCTAATTCTCCTGCCTCAGCCTCCTGAGTAGCTGGGATTACAGGCATGTGCCACCAAACAAACTAATTTTGTATTTTTAGTAGCGATGGGGTTTCACCATGTTGGCCAGGCTGGTCTTCAACTCCTGACCTCAGGTGATCCACCTGCCCTGGCCTCCCAAAGTGCTAGAATTATAGAAGTGAGTCACCATGCCTCACCCAGAACTCTTATAACAATGAAAAGACAACCCAGTTAACAAATCGGCAGAGGACCTGAATAAACAGTTTTCCAAAGAAGATTTAATTTCTGCAATTAATTGAAAGAGATAAAAATAGCCAATAGGGATAACTGAAGACTCTCAACATCATTAGTTTCAGGGAAATACAAATCAAGACCACTATGAGATACCACTTCACACCCACTAGGATGGCATTTAACAAGACATAAGTGTTGGCGAGAACATGGAGAAACTGGAACCCTCATACTCTTGGTGGCAATGCAAAATGGTGCAGCCACTTTGGAAAACACTGTGGGAGTTCTTAATGTTCAACATAGAGTTACCCTGTGACCCAGCAATTCCCCTTCTAGGTACCTACCCAGGAGAACTGGAAACACAGGTCCACACAAAAATATACACGAATGTGCTTATTGTTATTCCTTCAGGCAGAAATTGAAAACCCATAATGTCCATCAATGAAACATAGTCTGTTCATACAGTGAGATATTTGTCCATAAAACGGAATGAAGTACTGATGCATGCTACAATGAGGATGAACCTTGAACACACCATCTTAAGTGAAAAAAGCCAGTCACAAAGCGCACATATAATTCTGTTCATATGAAATGCCCAGAATAGGGACATTTAGGGAGACAAAAAGCACATTGGTTGGGGAGTGATACTAAGGATTTGAGGTTTCTTTTGGGAGGGGTGCACAACTCTGACTACACTACAAATCATTGAATTGTACATTTTACATGGACTTTATGGTCTGTGAATTATAGCTCAGTAGAGCTCTTAAAAGTCCTGGCCGGGTGCTGTGGCTCATGCCTGTAATCCCAGCACTTTGGGAGGCCGAGGCGGGTAGATCACCTGAGGTCAGGAGTTCGAGACCAGCCTGGCTAACATGGTGAAACCACGTCCCTACTAAAAATACAAAAAATTAGCTGGGCTTGGTGGCACGCATCTACAATCCCAGCTACTCGGGAGGCTGAGGCAGGAGAATCGCTTGAACCTGGGAGGCAGAGGCTGCTGTGCACCATTGCACTCCAGCTTGGGCCAACAACAGTGAAACGCCATCTCAAAAAAAAAGAAATCCCTGACGGTACTAAAGGAGAACCTGATCACATGAGTTTAGGAGTTTGAGACTACCTTTGACAACATAGGGAGACCGCCCCCCATCTCTACCAAAAAATAAATTTTTTTCTTTCTTTTTCCAGTTACAGCAGCACTTTTTTCTTTACACAACGACGTGTTGCTGGGGCCTAACGTTCTCACTTCACAGTAGAAAACCAAAATTTGTTGTCATCTCTTTAAAGAATTGAGTTGCGTACAGAAAAACCTTAAAAGGATGAATACATTTACAGCTGTAAATGCAAACCGCTTTCAACTCAAGGCAAGTAACAGCCCATGGTGGTCAGGCAGGAAAACATTCAGCTAAGAAAGGAAACTGGATCTTAGGGCTTGGATTTTCCAGCCTGACAGACGGGGAGCCCTTGCCAGCCTCTAGAGCAATCCCAGAACACTCAGCCCTGACACACGGTTACCCCGCACAGATTGAAGACTGCTGGCCACGTAGAGTCACCAAGCCACAGGCTTGTCTGCCACAAGCACGCTCTTAGCCACAAAGTGACTAAGCCACATGGACTAAGGGTTGAAATCAAAGATTTGTATTAAACATATTGTATTAAACAAAGAGTATTAAATTCCAAGGGGAACAGTTAACTTGAACACAAGGTCAAAATTGGCAACAAGTTCTACAATCCAGAGCTGATATCAGATACCAGCTTCGAGGACAATTTCTTTTCGAAAGCTCCCAGTTTCATGAGGCTAGCATGAAGTATATGCATTTGCCAGGGGCAAATTTATACTTCGGAGTTAACCCATGCAGCACATGCTACACATCTGCTTGCAGGCCATTTAGAAGCATTTGCGGTGGACGATGGAGGGGCCCGACTCGTCGCACTCCTGCTTGCTCATCCACATCTGCTGCAAGGTGGACAGCGAGGCCAGGATAGAGCCGCCGATCCACACCGAGTACTTGTGCTCTGGGGGGATGCACGATGATCTTGATCTTCCTGGTGCTGGGCGCCAGGGCGGTGATCTGTGTCCTGTTGGTGATGCCTGGGTGCGTGGTAGTGCCGCCAGATAGTACCGTGTTGGCGTACGGGTCTTAGTGGATGTCCACATCATACTTCACGATGGGGGTGAAGGTGGTCTCATGGATGCACAAGATTCCACACCCAGGAGGGAAGGCTGGAACAGCCTCCTGACACCGGAAGCACTTGTTGCTGATGGTGATGACCTGACCATTGGGCAGCTTGCAGCTCGTCTCCAGGGAGTAGGAGGACACAGCTGCGGCCATCTCCTGCTCAAAGTCCAGGGCGAAGTAGCACAGCTTCTCCTTGATGTTGCCCACCACCTCCCGCTCGGCCGGTGGTGAAGCTGTAGCCCCACTCCGTGAGGATGTTTGTGAGGCAGTCAGTCAGGTCCCCACCAGCCAGGTCCAGATGCAGGATGGTGTAGCCCTCGTAGATGGGCACCATGTGGGCGACCCCGTCTCCAGAGTCTATGAGAATGCCAGTGGTGCACCCAGAGCTGTACAGGGACAGCACGACCTAGATAGCGATGTACATGGCTGGGGTGTCGAAGGTCTCAGACACGATCTGAGTTATCTTGTCTGTTGTCCTTGGGGTTCAGGGGGGCCTCGGTCAGCAGCATGGAGTGCTCCTCTGGGGCCACACGCAGCTCGTTGTAGAAGGTATGGTGCCAGATCTTCCCTATGTCGTCCCAGTTGGTGACGATGCTGTGCTCAATGGGGTACTTCAGGGTCAGGATGCTGCACTTACTCCAGGCCTCGTCTCCCATGTAGGAGTCCTTCTGGCCCATGCCGACCACCCTGCCCTGGTGCTGGGGTGCCTGATGGAGGTAAACACGGCTCGGGTCGGGGGGCGTCATCCCTAGCAAAGCCAGCTTTGCACATGCCGGAGCCATTGTCAATGACGAGCATGGCGATTTCTTCTTCCATTCTGACCAGAGGAGGAGTGAGGCAGCGGAGCGGCCCAAGAACACTGCATGCGGGCTAGTGGCGGTGACTGAGGAAAAAAAAATTAGCCAGGCGTGTTGGCGTGCACCTGTGCTCCCAGCTACTTAGGAGGCTGGGGTGGAAGGATCGCTTGAGCCCAGAAGGTCGAGGCTGCAGTGAGCTGTGGTGGCACCACTGCACTCAGGCATGGGTGACAGACCGAGACCATATCTCAGAAAATAAAGTAATAAAAGGACAATTTTGTGTTTCTTGATGAAGAACCTTGAAAAGGCTCAGCTGTGATGCCCGTGACTTCCAGGGCAGGAATTGAAGCTCTGTGCAAGTGTTAGGTGTTTCTCCCCGATCATGCTGGTGTAGGAAGCAGGGAATTCCCCAAGTGTGTGTCAGGAAGCAACCTCATAACAGAATCGATATAGATGGAAGTGTGTGTAAAAGTGATCTAGCTGGCCAGGCGAGGTGGCTCACACCTTTAATCCCAACACTTTGGGAGGCCGAGGTGGGTGGATCACCTGAGGTCAGGAGTTCAAGACTAGCCTGGCCAACATGGTGAAAACCCATCTCTACTAAAAATAGAAAAATTAGCTGGGCATGGTGACACATGTCTTTAATTCAAGCTACTTAGAAGGCTGAGGCAAGAGAACCCCTTGAACCCAGGAGGCAGAGGTTGCAGTAAGCTGAGATCATGCCACTGCACTCCACCCTGGGCAACAGCGAGACTGTGTCTCAAAAAAAAAAAAAAGTTCTGGCTGGCAGGACAAAAAATTAGCTGGGCATGGTGGTGGATGCCTGTAATCCCAGCTACTAGGGAGGCTGTGGTGGGAGAATGGCTTGAACTAGGGAGGCCCAGGTTGCAGTGAGCTTAGATTGCGCCACTGCACTCCAGCCTGGACAACAGAGCAAGACTCCCTCTCAAAAGTAAATTATGTAGCCTGTGGTATCTCTAGGTAAAAGTATTCCAGGAACCCTGAACTTCCCGTGTTATCTATCTCCACCATGTTTTGATGTGTGTGATAAACATGTGTCTCTTTGTAATCAGGGACATCAGAGACATCAGACTGACCGGCGAGTCCCAGTGAGGCGACACACGCAGAGGGGCTCTGTGCCGCCCACAGGAGGCGGCTTCACATCCACGCAGGCTTCCCATCTACTTAGGTTTTGCTTGACAGAAACTTCATTCTTCCAAAGCATCACTGGCCTTCACATATCCTCAGGCGGTCTCCCAGGAGGAATTCTTGGATGGTGTCCTCGTGTCGGCAGCGAACGGTGCTCAGAGCTGGTGCTTGCAGATTCGGGTGCGGGGGGCAGCGCAGTGGCGCCTTCCTGAGCTTTGGAATATGTAAGGAAGCTGCCTGGTTGTGGACACTCCTGCTGTCTGGCTACCAGCGCCCCTGGCTTTGCAGAGCACGCCACCTTCCCTGGGCTTTCCGCCTGGCAAGGCCCTGCTCTGCTCAGCACAGTGCAAAGTGAATGCCACTGTCTTGGAGCCTGGGCATACTTGGGGAAGTTCCTGCTTCAAAGGGAGCTGTGCCGTGTGTAGGCTGGGTCAGGCCACACTGGTCTTTTCTGGACAGGTGCTGGGTAGGTTTTCCTGGTCTCTGGCTGCCTGCTGCCACAGTGCGGCCATCCCCAGCAGCCAGAGCCGGCCAAAGCACATGCCTTGTTCCGCGCTCCAGACTTTGCTCCCTGTGCTCCTGCCAACTTAAACCTCTCCACAACACCCACGGCAGGTGTTGTCCCGAGATTAGAGCCAGCCCAGAGGTCGGCAGGGGCCAGTGCTGGGTACACACGCCCTGGCTGAGGCCAGTGGGGTCCTGGGTGGCCCACGTCCAACTAAAGCCTGAAGCTTAGACAGGTGGCAGCAGAGGCACGTGCCCTTCTGTGGAGCAGCTTCACACAGTGCGGCTTCAGTCAGAGGGAACAGTCCGGAGGGGCAAGATGACCCCACCGGGACTGCAGAGCTTCCTGCTTACCAACAAGGACCTGTCCTCAGCCCCGAGAGGTGGCTCCATCCCACCAAGTAACTGTGGGGGAGTGCCGGCAGCAGGCACATCCCCGCCATCCACTGCAAGGCTGGGACAGCCCAGGCGCCCATGCTTCTCCTCTGCTTGTGTGGTTCCCCCAATAAATCCTGTTTTGCATCTCACTGCGTGTAGCTGCTGCGTGTTCACGGCTCCCTTGCAGGCACAGTCAGCCACTGTGAAGCCACACCCCATCATGTCTCCATGCCAACGCCTGGGAGACCCCCCAATACCTAGGCAGTTGCGGTCACCTGGCCCACATGTACCCTGGACCAAGAGTGGATGAGGGGCCTGGAGTTGGGGCCTCTGAGAGGCTGCTGCAGCCCGTGGCCTCTCCCAGGCCCCGATGTGGCAGGTCACGCTGCTGAAAGAGGCAGATGCTCTGCTCTGGCCATTAGCCTGAGTTCCCCGGGACTCATTTACATAAGCCCAGGCGGACTTGCCCACCTGTCCATCCTTTGCCGGGACACAGCACAGTGGCTCCATTTCGAGTGGTGCTCTCGGCCCTGGAGCATCCTTCCCTGAGGCTGAACTGCCCTCAGCTGGACTCACGGCCAAGGCCGCAGACCCAGCACTTCAATCCCGACTCCCACTGCATGTTACAAGTGTGCACACCCACAGGAGGCAGCCACGCCTGAGAAATACCTGCTGAAAGATGGTCCAGTGTGTCCCACCTCCAGTCAGGCTCCCTGCAGAGGGGAAAGCTCTATACATGCCCAGGTCACAGCAGCCTGAGTCACCGCACCCTCTGTACCTGGGGGCTCCATGGCCAGCACCTTCCTGCCGCAAGTCACATGAGATCATGCCCTGTCACCTTGGCTGGGCTCTGGGCATCTCTAAGCAGGTGTGAGGCAAGTGAGAGGAAGGACACCGGCTTCTCTTCCCTTTTTGGACACTGCGTCATTGACTGAGGCTGGCCCACTCTTCCTCTGGCTCTCGCCTGCTTTGACCTTAGAGGACAGATGACAGTCCACGTCGCTGGGCTAAGACTCCCCAGTGGACTTGAATTTGGATGCTGCTGTTGCCTTGGGTGGCTTCACGGCCACCTACCCCCACCCTGGTGGCCACTCAGCCACGATAAGGGCCTGATATCAGCCATTGAGTAAGCTTCAGAGCCTTCCTCTTGGAAAGTTCCAGGGCCACCAGATGTCCACTGCCCGGTCACTGTCAGAGCTGAAGTGTGTGGGTGAGTGCCAGCTGTGGAGTGTGTAGCCCAGCATCGGCTCAGCGGGGCCCTGGCTCAGCTGCTTCTACCCCCACAAACCCCGTTTTATGACATCTGCACCACGTGGTGTGTCTGTGCCCTTGGACACAACAGTGTGAGTGATGTCTCGTGAATTTTTTTTTTTAGATGGAGTCTCACTCTGTTACCAGGCTGGAGTGCAGTGGCACGATCTCAGCTCACTGCAACCTCCACCTCCCGAGTTCAAGTGATTCTCCTGCCTCAGCCTCCTGAGTAGCTGGGACTACAGGCATGTGCCACTACACTCGGCTAATTTTCGGATTTTTAATAGAGACGGGTTTTCACTTTGTTGGCCAGGATGGTCTCGATTTCCTGACCTCTTGCACCGGCCTCCCCCTCCCAAAGTGCTGGCATTACAGGCATGAGCCACCATGCCCAGCCAGATGTCTCATGAAATTTAAAACAATTTGCAAGCCATCAGAAAGGTATCAACAAGGAACTCTACTTTTGAAAACAAGGGTGAGGACAGTGGCCAGCTCTGGGAGTCCCTGGCCCCCCAGGCCCTGACCCACAGCTGTAGGGCAGGCCCCATCCCCCAGTGATCCCAACCTAGCCTGCTGTCCCACCTCTGCCAAGACAGGGTGGCACAGGACCCCTGTAGCTAAGGCCAGCAGGTGTGTCTCTGAGCTGGCCAAGGGCACTGACCACTCTCCCCAAGACCCTCCTAGTGCCGGCTCCTCTGGCTTCCCCTCCCAGCCTCCATGGTGTGCACCTTGGCCCAGCCCACCCTTGGAGTGGGGGTTGGTGATTTGGGGGTGGACCTCAGCACTCTTCTACTCGGCCACTTTGGGGTTCAGTTTGTCAGTCCGCCCTCACTTCTGTAATTGAGACCTGAGCACTGTGTCCAGCTGCCTCCTGGGCCCTGCCCAGCATCATCCATGAGCACCAGCAGTGCAGGTGGCAGAGGGGATAGTCCCCCGTCCTCATCTGAGGGAGGAGACCAACGATGAGTGAGACAGCCAGTCATCCTTGACGCCCTGCATCCCTGCGACGCCTGTCCTGCATCCCATCAGTCATCGGGGCCTACCACCTGCCTGGTTTGTCTTTTTTTTTTTTTAAGAGGGAGTCTCACTCTGTTACCCAGGCTGGAGTGCAATGGTGTGATCTTGGCTCACTGCAACCTCCACCTCCTGGGTTCAAGTGTTTCTCCTGCCTCAGCTTCCTCAGTAGCTGGAATTATAGGTGTGCCATCACCTGGCTAATTTTTGTATTATTAGTAGAGACAGAGTTTCACCATGTTGGCCAGGCTGGTCTCGAACTCCTGCTGTCATATGATCCACCCGCCTCCGTCTTGCAAAGTGCCAGGATTACAGGCGTGTGCCACTGTGCCTGGCCTGGTTTGCCTTTTAAGAATAGCTTTGTGGGCCGGGCGCGGTGGCTCAAGCCTGTAATCCCAGCACTTTGGGAGGCCGAGGCGGGTGGATCACGAGGTCAAGAGATCGAGACCATCCTGGTCAACATGGTGAAACCCCGTCTCTACTAAAAATACAAAAAATTAGCTGGGCATGGTGGCGCGTGCCTGTAGTCCCAGCTACTCAGGAGGCTGAGGCAGGAGAATTGCCTGAACCCAGGAGGCGGAGGTTGCGGTGAGCCGAGATCGCGCCATTGCACTCCAGCCTGGGTAACAAGAGCGAAACTCCGTCTCAAAAAAAAAAAGAGCAAAAAAAAAAAAAAAAAAAAGAGCTTTGTGGCCAGGTGTGGTGGCTAACGCCTGTAATTCTAGTACTTTAGGAGGCTCAGGTGGGCAGATCACCTGAGGGCAGGAGTTCAAGACCAGCCTGACCAACATGGTGAAACCCTGTCTCTACTAAAAATACAGAAATTAGCCAGGCGTGGTAGCACATGCCTGTAATTCCAGCTACTCAGGAGACTGAGGCAAGAGAATCACTTGAACCCAGGAGGTGGAGGTTGCAATGAGCAGATTGTGCCACTGCACTCCTGCCTGGGGAGAGAAAAAAAAATTTTTTTAAAAAAAAAAAAAAAAAAAAAAAAAAAAACCAGCTTTGTTGCAATATAATTCACATACCATACAATTCATCTGTTAAAAGTGTTCATATCGACGGCTTTTGATATGTGTAAAGCCACAGAGTGTGCATCCATCACAACTATCTCATTTGAAAACGTTTTTATCACCCTAAAAAGCTGTCCCTCCCTCTGCCTGCCTTTTTTTTTTTTTTTTTTTTTTTTTTTTTTAGAGACAGACTCACTGTGCTGCCCGGGATAGAGTTCAGTGATGCCATCTCAGCTCACTGCAACCTCTGCCTCCCGGATTCAAGCAATTCTCTTGCCTTAGCCTCCTGAATAGCTGCCATTACAGGTGTGCACTGCCACATCCAGCTAATTTTTGTACTTTCACTAGAGGTGGGGTTTCAAAATGTTGACTAGGCTGGTCTCGAACTCCTGGGCTCAAGCAATTCACCTGCCTTGACTTCCCCAAGTGCTGGGATGATAGGTGCGAGCCACTGCGCCCCACCCCTCTGCCTATTTACTTAACCCAAGTGCTGAGGGGCTGATGGGGCCCCTTCCTCTAGAGTGTAATGTTGGGAGCATCTTCAGGACCCAAGGAAGGAACTGGGACAGCACAGGAAACCCCTTCATGGGTCCCTGTACTCAAACATTCCCATCCCACAGCGCCTGACCCATGCCGGGTCAGCCACTGGTGGGTGTGACCGCCGCAGTCTCCAATCCCGTCTCTTATTTGTCGCTCTGCAAAACCCAGCCCCACCATAGCTCAGTGAGAACAGGATGCTTCCTCAGTGCACATCCCAGCACACACACCTGCCCACGTGTGCTTTCCCTGGCCTCCTTTCTGAAACACTCTCATCTGTCACCGAGGCCGTAGTACAGTCATGAGACCTTGGCTCACTGCAGCCTCAAACTCCTGGGCTCAAGCGATCCTCCCACCTCAGCCTCCCAAGGAGCTAGGTCCACAGGTGTGCACTACCACACCAATCTAATTTTTTACTTTTTTTTTTTTTGAGATGGAGTTTCCCTCTGTAACCCAACCTGGAGTGCAGTGGCAGAATCTCAGCTCACTACAAACTCCACCTCCCAGGTTCAAGCAGTTCTCCTGCCTCAGCCTCCCAAGTATATGAGATTACAGGCATGTGCCACCATGCCTGGCTAATTTTGCTTTTTTGTTTGTAGAGACGGGGTTTCACCATGTTAGGCTGGTCTCAAGCTCCTGACCTCAGGTGATCCACCTGCCTCAGCTTCCCAAAGTGCTGAGATTACAGGCACAAGCCACTGCCTAATTTTTTAATTTTTTTGTAGAGACAGTTTTTTTTTTTTTTGGGTGGGGAGAGGCAGGATCTGCAGGGTTCTGGGGTTGCAGCGGGGAGGGTTGGGGCAAGTTCGTGGAGACAGTCTATGTTGCCCAGGCTGGTTAAACTCCTGCGTTCAAGAAATTCATCTGCTTCAGCCTTCCAAAGTGGTGGGATTACAGGTGTGAGCCACCTCGCCCAGGCCTAAAAATGCAAATCGAAGCACACAGCACCTGCCCCAGGTGTACTCTCTCGGGTTTTCATATCAGGTACAACTACCTGTTTCAAGGACCAGAAGCCAGACATACCCAAGGGGGTTCTCTGGAGACCAAGGGCACGACCATCCCTGGCCTCAGTCTGCCAGCGCCAGCCACAGCTGCCTCCAGCCACCCGCTCCGCCGGCCCTCCTCCTGCCTCTAGCCACCTGCTCTGCTCCCCTCCTGTGTGGCCAACAGGAGACAACCAGCTCCCCAGGAAGGAGACCAGTCACCCCATCCCCATTTTGAAGCCCCAGAGGAACAGGCCCATCTGGTACCAATTAACCATAGCAGGCGTCCCTTTGTGCCCAGGGCTGACCAGGCCCCCGCTGACGGGAGGGTATTTGACCTGATAGGGCTGT